TACCTGTGTCAGACAGCCTAACTCCATGAAACTCCTTGGATAATATCGGTATGTCATATATAATAGCTTCATTAATTAATGAAAATAGCGGGTTGTTAGCACCTCGTCAGCTCCATCTAATGTTGATTATACTAATCCAACTGGAATTCCTCCAGAGTTACAATGCTTTGGTGACATAGTTCCTAACAACAACAATGGCGTTTTTGGCTACCCATTTTGTACTGTTTTAATTGGCGTAGAAATACAATTTAGGTCAATTGTTCCATTAGTTAAAACCCAATATGTTGAAGGCCAACAGCACTAACCCAGATACAAAATTTGGTTAAAATAATAAATAATTATTACGCAAATCAATAAAAAAATATACTTGTTGCAGCTAATAAAAAAATCGGTATTTTCTTATAAATAATAAAGGATAATAAACGCTATGACTACATAACCATAATTACTCTAGAGAAATTAAATCCGGTAGTTGAAGATGTTGGTAACTATAATGTTATTGCTCCACTTATCAGATTTATAGAATCTGAATCTGATGAGGTCACAAACAAGACAAGAGTTCTTTCTGATAATGTTTCCGACAATGAAAATCACAATAATGTTTTACACAACCCAGGGACTAGTAATAGGATACCTTTAAAGTATATTCTTGCTCTTTCTATTAATATTCTAGTTCTATTCTACTTCTTTGTTTTTTATCCTTAGGCAGATGCTGTGGTTTGTGTGACAGTTAATATTGTTGGTCTTTCTCAAGATTGTTATTAAGTTATTGAGCGCTTTTAATTTTTTAGCAGGCACAAATAATTTAGTGGCTTTGCAAGTTTCTTTTTCTTTGATTGTTATTCAAGTAGCGATAATTTGAGAGAGATTAAATTTGAAAGAAGCAATACAACAGATCTAGAAGAGTGAAAAGAAAGAGGGTGATCAATTATTATTTTTATTACATTTTTAAATATATTATTAAAAATAAAGAATAGGTTTAATTGGTGCTAATTCACCAAAGACATTATTAATTCGTTGATTATTAGCGATTTTAACAAATATTTAGAATCTGAAAGGACACTTTGATTGAAACAACCTATTGCAAACATAACTTTGTTCTGAAATTAACTGGAGCACTCAACCTCAGAAATCTTCAAATAGAAAAGTTTCAAACTATCCAAAATTGATTGAATATAGTGCAGTCCTTTTTTGGCCGAAGCTGTCCATGGTAAAGACTACTTTTTTTATCTCACCAATTGTTATTACCACGTTTATTAGAGTTTCTGCGAGATGGATAAGTTTTTCATTTAGTAAGCCTGACCATGAGATGAGTATTAATGGTTTGAATTTATTAACCATAAAAAATTTCCACTTTGATTTATTTGATTATAAAATGAGGATGTGCACTTCTTTTTGTATTTATAGGGCATCGACCGCCCAACCAGCGATCACCACCCATAAACATTTAATCTCGTGATTGGTTGATACTTCGAACAAAAAATTGGTATTTATCTTAAACGTATATGGCTATCAGTATAACCAACTCTGCATTTTTCAAAAAAATGCTTTTATAAAAATATCAATATGCAGAAAAATGTTTTGGCGGATAGGAGAATTTGCAAAGTGCTCCGAAAATCTACCAACTTTGGACTTAATTGGGTTTTTCTTAGTAAAGAAAAAGGATATTGCTAGAATGACAATACTATAAGAACAATAGCTTTCCTTCCCTTTTCCTTTCTTGGAGTTTTTCTTTTAATGCTAAAAATAAGCCGGTTTTTCTCCCAGGCTTGAAAATTTGATTTCTGATAGTTTCATCTTTTGAGGAAAATTCAATAGTAATGAAACAAATCTTAAAACCTCGTCATATTGTAATGATTACAATTGGTGGTACTTTTGACGCAGGTATCTTTTTGAATTCAGGTGAGGCTTTGGCTAATGGCGGTCCTGCTTCTTTGTTTATTTCTTACGTTATTGTTGCTATTGTGATTTATTTTGTGATGTCAGCTTTGTCTAAAACCGCAACTTACACTGAAGGTAAAGATGGAATTATTGGCTATGCAACAATTTATGTTGACCGTTGCTTAGGCTTTTCCATTGGTTATTTACTTTTGTTTAGGTACCTTATTGCTTCTCCTTACCTGTTATCTGAGCTTTCAACAATGCTAAGAAATTACAACAAAGAGGACACTAGTTATACTGCTGCTGCTTGGTTATCTGGCTCTTTCATTCTTTTCATAGTGGTCTTCGTTTTTTCAACAATGGCTTTCGCAGAAGTTGAATATATACTCTCATGTTTGAAGATTATAATTATAATTGTGTCATTGGGGTCCTTGATAAAGTCCATCTCGTCAGATAGCCCAGATTCAGCAAAAGGTTTTGCATATTGGAGAGACAATTCATTTAAAGAATATGGTGCTCAAGGCCCTCGTGGTATATTTTTTGGGATATTTTCCTCTCTTAATAATGCAACCAATGCCTTTTCTGGAATTGAATTAATTGCTATGACCTTTCCAGAACTAATCAGCTCTGGTGAAATTCCAAGAGCTATTCTTAACACATACTTTAAGACATCAGTTCTCTACATACTTCTTATCTTTTTTATGGTCACTTCTGTTAGCTCAAAGAATCCAGACTTGATTAACAATCCTAGTGTTTTTGCTTGTGATTCTTCACCGTTTTCAATGGTTGTGGACCTTTCTGAGTTCGTTAGAGCATCCACTGTTCTATTCACATTTAGTGAAGCTTTTTCAGACTTGTATTTTTCTTCGAGATTGTTGCTTTACTTATCGACTAATGGTTTTGCTCCAGCGATATTCTCTAAAACAAGTAGATT